AGTAGAAACCAGTAAAAAAAAAAAAAAAAAAAGACTGATCACACAACAGACTCAGATATTAGTTGTGCTTTGGATTCACAAAATAAGAGAGCAAAATATTTGAACAATAAGAGTTTAATCTGGCAGGCCTTAATTCCAACACACACCCACAAAGTGACCTTAGAATGGTGGCAGGAAGAAAAGCCTGTTGATAAGTCTGAATTGTAATTCAAAGATTATATTGACATTCTTTTTGGAAAAATATATAGAGTGTAGTGACTCTCTTTTTACAAAAATAAAAAACAAAAATCAGTACCTGAAATGAAAAGAGAGCTTTAATTTTACAGATTTCAAATGTTAAATGGTTGGCTTAATTTAGTGTGCTGAGAAAATGATTCTCTTCTCTAATTTCCTATTTTGCAAGTCCCAGCAAAGGTCTTATTTCTCAGTACAATAGTTATATCATTTTCTGACATTGAAGCAGATTTTAATTATTTTTATTACTATTAAAGCTAAAACTAAAAAGACAATTTATTAAGACCAACTTGTCTTTTTAGTTCTAAACATAGAACTTGTAAGGTTGTAAGGATGACATTTTAATGGTGCCAAAAAAGAAACAAAGAACACTATAAACTTTGGTATTTAAAAACATACTATACTTTATGTAAAATACAACATTGATGCTAGCTAGCTCCTACTCTGAATTAGAAGACAATGTAACCACACAGTTAACTTGGTAAGTTAGGAAATACTGAAAATTAAGATGAAGAGAACTATAAGATATACATTTACCCCACAAAAACAAGCCAAAAGATCTTCCCAAAGGAACAGGGAATGTGACAAAAAGAAATATCAAATTCTGTTCCACAAGATCCTGTTGTCAGTGAGCACTCTCATTTCTTGTGCTCAGACTCACTTCAAATGATGAAATATTCTAAGCCAAGGCTATTTATTCAAACTGTGGTGATTAATTCTCCACCCACCCTAACTCAAACAAGGGCTGTACTGAAGAGAAGTTGTATGACCTGGCCTTCTGTAGGGTTTTTCCTGGTCTCCTTTATGAGTTTCTGACCAGTGCCAAGTATCTAGCACAGTCAAACAATCACTAGAAAGCATGTAAGTTAGTTTAGTCTACGTGTTTCTCTTTCAGCTTGTTCTCATTTGGCAGGATACTCTCCTGGATGTGTTCACTGTATAATGAAGCCAAGCTGCACACAATAAACCATGCTTCTGGATGTGTCATCTGCAAATGGAACACTACCTAGCTTTATAAATGTTTGTTTAAACCAAGTAGAATGTAATGTTTTTTTCTAACATTAAATTCCTTTCAACAATCTATCAAGCTTTCAACATACATGTCTATATTTCAGGACAGCAAAAAAAAGAAAGCCATTTTTGTTTGGAAGATAATAAACACTGAAACTAACATATATGCGAAAGTATTCCTGATGAACTGTTAAGTTCACATTTTTCAAACTTTCTTTTACAGAGTAATTGATAAAGGAGGAATCAAAACTGACTGGTTATAGTTGGAATCTTTCTAAGTCAAAGAAATATATATATATGGACATCACAATCAATGACAGAATCAGACACAGAACATAAGAATACCAGAGCATTCTGGAATCTGAGAGACTATTTGGTTCAAATTTGGTTTTAAACAGTAAGAAAAATGAGCCTAGAGAAGTTTAGTGACTTGCTCAAAATCAAGCAATTAGTTAACAGAATTGGGACTTAGTCAATAAACAAAAAGACAAACTAAAATTCCTCAGTGAACTGATCAGGTAGCTATGGCAGTGTCCTGGTCTTACTCCTGGTCTCCTGGCTTCCAAGTTTGTTCTTAATATAATCTAATATGTGACATCCTATCTGTAAAAACATGTTAAGAACCTGTATTTTCTTTCTTCCCCACTATACTGCTCTTTCCTGTTCAGTTGCTCATACTTAGAAAGGACAGTAGAGTGGCCTGTGAGTTAATTTTAGAAATAAAATGGAACAGGGCCAGGGATTTAGCTCAGTGGTTCTCCTGCTTGCTTTGCAAGTGCAAGGACCTGAGCTTGATCCCTGGTACCACAAAAAAAAAAAAAAAAAAAAAAAAAAAAAAAAAAAAAAAAAAAAAAGAAAAGAAAAAAAGTAGAATGAATAAACAGCAGAGTGAGTCCAGACTTAGGGAAGGCCTGTGAGAAATAAAGCCAGAGTAGATGCAATGAACATAGGTAATCAGGTAAATTTTCTGTTGGAATCGGGTTTGACGGATACATGTGGAGAGGCCTGGTCATCAAGAGAGGCCAGGGGACTGCAGTGGATTATCCTGAGCCAAAGTTATGACTCAGCACAACCTCTAATAGGAAGTAAAATAAAAAGAGGAGGGGGAAAACAGCCAGAGTCAGAAAAGAAGCAAAGAATCACTAAGAGACATAGGTGTGAAGGTGACTGAGACATTAAAAGCAGAGGGCAAAAGAGAGAATTGTGAATCTGCTTTAGGGTACTGGAAGATCCCCATTGCCCCAACAATAAAGAACAGTGTGAGTCTATTATTCTCTTTCCCTTCAAAGCCCAACTCAACTGAAGCCAGTCCAGTGTTGTATAGCTCATCAGAGCACACAGAAACTTAAGAGTTCTCACCATGATGATGACAACTCAGGAGAGAAACAGAATGAAACTCTGATGTCAGGTATACCTGCATTCAAGTACAGCCTTCCACAGATAAGTTATGTTATTTTCAGTTATTTAATTGCTCTGAGTGTGAGTTTCCTTAAAACTAATATTTATGTGCTAAGTCATCCATTAAAGATAACTATGTGCAAGCTCCTGGACTAGATGTTAATTTTTCTCAATACCTATGAAATATGCTGATATCCTCTAAGGAGTTTTTTATTTTGTCTATACATAACATTGCTGCTGTTAAATACCTTCTCAGTGAGCTCAGAATTCCTTAATTCTCAAAAGGTTACTCTACAATCATACCTAAAAACATGACACAAATGGAAAGACTCAGGCAAAACTCTCCCAATAAAAATACTGAAGACACTTGCCTCATAACACATATACACAGAAAAGAGTACTATGAAAAAATTGTACATTAACATCGCTTTCTTGAGTTCAAAGGGCTTTCGATTTTCCATGAGCTTTGGTCCCAGAGCGGTGACAAAGTAAACATAGAGTCCCAAGATGATGGATTGTGGCAGAGGTGAGGACATGAGGAACAAATCTTCAACTCTTGGATCTAAGAGAAAAATAATAGGTAAGTGAACACCCACACAGCCAAAAAGCAACTGACAGCAACCAACATTGCTCGGGGGACCACCCAGATTCTAGGCTTGACGATGGACATTAATCACTAGTACCTTTAAAAAGAATGACTAGCATCTTTTGGAAGGGTGATTCTAAATCACCAGATATATAGTGAAGCACTTCTGGACTAGAAAGAGTGATGCTGTCATCCTTTGGTCTCAAAGAACAAGGGTAGTAGTTACTAGAACTTGGAAGGAGAGTCACATGGAAAAAAACCTTCCGGAAAAGAATTGTGTTATGAACTAAATGTTTGTTTCCTTCCAAAATCCAAATGTTGAAATTGTAACCCCCAGTGTGATGGAACTAGGAGGTGCGACTCCTCTTGAATGAGACTAGTGCCATTATAAAAATGGATCCCACAAAACATTCCTGCCCTTTCCTACCATGTGAGGACACAATGAAATAGATAGCAACCTGGAAGAGAGCTCTCATCGGAATCTGACCATGCAGGCACCCTGATCTGGACTTCCAGCTTCCAGAACTATAAGAAATAAATTCCTATAATTTTCAAGTATTCTGTGGTAATTTGTTGCAGCAGGCTGAATGGACTAAGATGAGCTAGGAGTGTTAGCTGAGGGATTCGGCCAGCCCAACACAATTCTACAAATAAGGAGCCAGAGGAATAGATATCCCAATGCCATCCCCTCCCTTTCTTCAATCTCCTGAGGCTTTCCACTGGCCAAACCAGGAACCAGTGAACAGGAGAGTAAGTTAGCCCAGGGATATACATTCTCCTGGGTCTAGCACAAGGATGCAAAGCAGATCTGTGGGAGAAGACACCCAGCAATGGTTCATTATCTATCAGTTAGGAAAATATAGCCAGCTGTTAAAATAAATTTTAAAATTAAACATTAGGTAGTGACAGGAAAAGAGAATGGAAGCATTTATTTTGAGATAGAGTAAGGAATAAGAAAAATAAACTTTTATTGATTAGTTCAACACGGGGAATGAAACATAGGTCAAAGTTAAAAAATACTCCATGGGCTAGGGATTTAATTCAGTGGTGCTTCTGCCTGCCTTGCCAGCATTAGGTCCCAAGTTCGATCCTCAGTTACAAAAACAAAAACAAAACAACAACAACAAAAAAACTCCAGTTTTTGTACATAAATATACCATCCTTTTGATAAATATACTTAGACTGGGAATAGAGAATAAGGTACAAGACTAGTCAAGTAGAGACTGCTTATGATTTGGGACATTTTACATTTAAGGGTCCTATACAATATTCATATGGAAACTTGCATAGGCATTTGGACATATGGACCTGGATTTAGGAACAAGATCTGGGCCAGACATGGCAGATTTGAGGGTTGTTATACATTAATGATGAAAAGAAAAACAAGGATCTAGACTTAGGAAAAGCAGGTAGGGTAAAGTGAGTAAGTCAGAATCCTTAAGATCCAACATGCATGAGAAGAGAAGTAGAGAAAAAACAATGAAGATATCTGAAGATATCTGAGAAGGAATGTCTGGAAAAGTAGAAGGAAAACCACAAAACCACAACAATGAGGCAACCTGAAGCCAAGGGAAAAGTGAACTTTTAGAAAGAGTCCAAGAATCAAATGTAGCAGAAAAAAAAATGTGTAGCAAAAAATTCCATTAGATTTAACAAAAGTTATTAATGCTCTTAGAAAAAAAAAACGATTTTAGTAAAGTACCATTTGCAAAATGGAAAACCAACAAAAGTTTACAAACAGACGCTCTTAAAAAATAAAGTTCTAGGGCCAGGGATTTAGCTCAGTGGTTCCACCGCCTGCCTTGCAAGGGCAAGGACCCTTGATCCCCAGTACCAAAAATAAATAAATAAACAAACAAATAAATAAATAAAAATAAATAAAGTTCTAAATTTTCAAAGCACTTTTTCATATTAACGTTTGTCACAGTTTTAAACCTGGAAAAGCTTTAAAATCAGCTATCTGAGTATAGACCTGAAAACATTCATTCTTTTATTAGTACTCCTCTTTCCTTACAACAAGAGCAAGTTTCCTAGGATATCTGTTTGCCATGTGCAATTAAAATGGCCATAAGAAACTCTTGCTATGAACCTACATATCAAAGTGCCTTTGTAAATAAAAGTTGTCACAGAACTGGGGACCAAAGCACAGAATTAGAACTGATCAATCTTTAATGAATTTCTTCTATCAGTGCGTAACACAAACCTTAAGTACTTAAACTATACTAGGTCTGTCTTTTATTCTTTTTTTTTTTAATTTTATTGAGTTTATTGGTACATTTTAGGGATACAGTACAGTTACATTCATTGTTGGGATCTTGTACCTCTACATGGCAAGTCTTGGTTCTCATTTTTTTCCCCTTTCCTCTGCCCTCCCTTCACCCCCTCCTCCCTTCCCCATCTACAAACACTTTATTTTCATCTTTTCATTCTCTCACATTTTTTTCTTTTCCCTTTTTGTTCTTCCCTAAGAAACTGATACCAAAAGAAGGCCTCTACAAGGATGTCAACATCACCACTTTTGCATCCTTTATAAGCAATTCAAAGTTTCTGCTATTAATAGTCTTTTTATATATGGTTTAAAATTTAGATTATTTTTAAGTATTTTTAAGAGATTCTTTAATTAGAGATTTATTTTATTCATTCATAGACTCAGTAGGGAGAGAGATAAAATGATATCATCTTTCTGTTCTCTCTCGATAGTAGCAAAAAGAAAACATGCCAGGAAACGCATGCTGGGCTGGATGGATCAGGAAGATAAAAATATTAATTTTAAAACAAGTCATTTTTTTCCTGTAATTTAACATTTTCAGCACACACCTTTTCTTAAGATCCTGTGACTTTTAAGATCTACAAATAAAAATATTATTATGGGAAAGGCTGGTTAATGCTAATTGAACATTAGTTTCAAATAATAAAACAAAATACCCAGCTTTTAAAGTAAATCCCATTTGAGCAAAACTCTGGAGCTGGCCAATCTGTGTTGTGATCCTGGCTCTCCCCCTAACTTATATGTGCCCTTCAGCAACTGATTTTATTTCTCTATACTGTATTTTGTTTCCTGCTCTGTGAACTGGGCATAAAACAACACATATTTCCCAGAGGATTAAATGAATTAGATGCAAAGAGCTAAGTGCTCAGTGACCTTGAGCGCAGCACAATGACAGCCAGAATATTTAAAAGTCAAGAGGCAAAAAGTGACCCTGTTCCCACTGAATCAGAATCGGGTATCAGCATATAATTTTTCAAAATTTTCAGTTAAAAAAATGTACAAAGGACTTGAATAGATATTTCTTAAAAGAAGACATACAAACGGCCAACAGAAATATGAAAAATGCTCAACATCACTATCACCAGGGAGATGCAAATTAAAGCTATATAATGAGATATCACCTCATACTTCTGAAATGGCTTTTATCAAAAGGATGACAGACACTAAGTTCTGGAGAAGATGAGAGGAGAAAGGAACCCTTGTACAGTTGTGGTGGAAATGTAAATTAGTACAGCCATTATGGAAAAATGTATGCAGGTTCCACAGAACTACCATATGGTTCAGCAATCCCACCTCTAGGTATATATCCAAAGAAAATGAAATCACTGCATTGAAGTGATGTCTGTTTTCTCAGGCTCACTGCAACATTCTTCACTATAGACAAGACATGAAGTGAACTTAGAGGTGTCCAGCAGCAGACGAATAAAGAAAATTTGTGGTGGTGGTGGTAGTGGTGGTATGTGTCTGTAATCCCAGCTACTCAGGAGGCTGAGACAGAAGGATCACAAGTATAAGGCCAGCCAGGGTAACAGCAAGATTCTATCTGAGAATGATATTTAAAAAGGGAAGGGATATAGGTCAGTGGTAGAATGCTTCCCTTATATGCTTGAGGCAGTGGGTTCAATACCCATTATGGGAGGGGGGTAGATCCTGTACTTTGCAACCAAATGGATGAACAGGGAAGACATTATCACAATATTATGCTATGCGAAATAAGCCAGGCACAGAAAGACAGATATATGATCTCACTCATATGTGAAATCTAAAACATTAGAACTCAATGAAGAAAAGTGTAAAGGTGGCCGCAGGGGCTGAGGGGAGAGTTGAAAGGAGGAGACGTTCATCAAAGGACACTTAGTTTTAAATGAGAACCAAGACCTTTCATGTAAAGTTACAAGATCCCAATAATGAATGCAACTGTACTATACTATATACCTAAAATGTACCAATAAACTTAATAAAAAAGTTTTTTATTTTATTTAGGACACTAAGTTTTAGTTGAACAGAAGGAATATGTTTTTTTGAGATTTACTGCATGACATGGTAACTATAGTTAATGGTATATTGTATAAGATTTCTAGCAATGCAAATTTCAAATGTTTTCATCACAAAAAAGGTAAGAATTTGCAATTACAGGTATGTCAATTAGCTTGATTTAATCATTCCACAATGCCTATATCCATTGAAACATCACTTTGTACATCAGAAATAAAATCATAATTTGTCAACATACAATTTTTTTTTCAAGCTGCTGAGATGACCTGATGAGCTGTTAAGAGTTACGAACCAGGGCTTTGGTGTGTGGCCTAGTTCTCCTCACCTGTACTCAGGGCTGCTGGAATCCTCACTAGGTGCTCTGCTGTAGTCTTTTAGGTGCTTTTCCCCTGCCTCTTCATCCAATCTACCACATTAGCTCTGCCTCAATGTGCAAGTAAAAACTTGCAAAGCTTTAGTGTGATGCTCAAGACAGGGGCTGTTGTTCACTGTTCCTACCTTCTCTCTCGGCAGCAGCGCACCTCTCTGAAAAGTGTGCACTTCCATGTGAGGTAGCAGACCTCTCTCCATGAGTCACCTATGGATCAGCTGTGGATGACTTGATATGGGGATTACAGAGTGGACTTCTCTGTGACACTGAAAGTTAATTCTTACTCATTTTGTGATCCCACAAGTTCAATCAGTTCAGAGGTGAGTGCTCTCTGTTTTCCCCACAGATAAAAAGCTAATGAAGGAGGGAGAATTTCATGTATCTTCCATCTGGCATCAGAACTGGTTTAAGTGTCCAAATGGAGCCAAGACGAAAGCAGAGGATGAGAAGGCAGATCAACAGTCTGCACCCCTGACAGTACCCAAATTCTGATTTATTATTAGCTTAATATTACCTTTCTATGAGTTCTACAGAGGATAGGGAAAGCACAAAGCTGCTTACACATATAGAATATTAATGAGCTTTTCCATCAACTACTACAGTGTTCTCTTCTTAAGTAGCATGTACTAGATCAAAATGTATACCCTTTAAAATTCCAAGTACTGCCTGGAATTTAGCTCACTGGTGCCACTCACTGCCTGCCTCGCAAGTGCAAGGTCCTGAGTTCAATCTTCAATACAAAAAACAAAAAATATTCCAAGGACCAACAAAATGAAGAAGCTAGAAGAAAAAGGAAACATGTGCCACAACTACCTTTTGAAACATTAAAAGTTCAAATGGCATGTTCCATTTTCTTGCAAAGAAAGATCACAACCAAGTCTGGAAACTTATTACTACTGTCCAAATACTACAGAGAATTGCTTTTTAAATTATTGTTATTATTATATATTTTATATTATTATTATATGTCTGCTGTTTACAATCATCTTGAAGAGCACTCACTTATAAATACCACAGCTTCTTTTCTTTTTTTAATGGTTTTAATCATTAAAACCCTTTTCATTTCTCCATAGCACCAAATGCTACTATAGCATTATTTCAAAATTTGGCATTTGTATCTAAGAATTATAATAAGTTCTCTCATATCTTAAATATTAGTTAAACCATTTTAAAATGTTCATAGTTAAGGAATTTTCCAAGAGATAAACTATATATGCCTCCCACTTCTCCAGCAATGAATAGCAGCAAGCTTTCCCAAGGTTATGCAAGATTAGGGCCAGAGCCAAGAATACACTTGAAATTCTTGGCCCTTGGTCATGCAGAAGCAAAGTAAAACTGGACCTCCTGATTACTGATGACTCTCAGAGATCAATGCCACACTAAGTAGAAGAAGGGGAAAAAAAAAAAACTCTCGTTATACCCGGCTGGATTTTCATGAAGTTGTAAATCTCAATATAAAACCCTCTTAACCCTGCTAGATCATGAAATTTTTAAATGTAAAAAAAATAATAATAATAATTTAAAAAGTGATATCCTATATTAAAAGTATTTAAAGATGAAATCCTGTATCATCTGTGACAATCACCACTACTATTTGTATTGGGACACTTTCCAAATTAACAGAGCGTTTTGTGCACGTTATCTAGTATCTGGTAAGTACTATTCTCATTTTATTTCACTAACACAGAAACTGAGACTCAAAGACAATATATAATTTGCTAAAGATCACCTGGTATACAGTAGCACAAGACCTTAAATGTAAGTTTTCTCAATCTACATACCCATGCCCTCTGTCCTCTTTCAAGATTAAAGTTAGCATAACCTCAGATATGTGGTATTTCCTCTTTCTTCATTGACTTTTTGTGGCACATCTTCACTGCACTGTTTGTAGTGGTTGCCAGGACTTTCCTATCTTAACCACCTCTCACTCTTGTCATTACTATCTCTGATCTAGTACTACTCAGCTTTCCAGTTAAAGCATTCCTAATAAAAAGTAAAAACGTTGATCTGTGTTTAAAAGTGGAAGTGAAATTCTGAAATAGGTAATATTACAACATTTTGTACTTCTAGGAGAGTGTTAATAATCATCACTATCTAAGTCTATCTGGCTCTTCAGTGAGGACACTGATTGCCTAACTTGCTTGGGTTCCTGCATTTGAGATAGTGAACAGCAAGATTTAAATTACAAGGGAACTATTCTGCTGAATAGCTCTATTTTTAAAACTACCCAAATTTGCTTGGCACCCATGTTCAAATAGTTTAAGAGTTTAGTGAGCGCAATATATCTTTACTTTGAAAAGCAGTAATCAGTATTTAAATTAAGCAATTAAAACATAAGTATTTACATTAAATAATGAATTTATGAGGACTACTGTCAACCTTTAGAGTAAGATGACCACAAAAATCTATACTGTCGCTGTATTATTATGACTAAGGGAAAAAAATAAAGTAATATGGAAATAGTCACTTTCTATCCCTACCAGTAAAGCTTATTTATGGGATGCTAAAATGTCCTTGGCAACTCTCAAGGACAAAACTTTGGAGACCTATCTTAGTGAAATAGAATTGGTTTTTAGCAGTCTCATGAAAAGGATGTCAATCTTGGAACAAGGTGTCTTCGCGGAAAGCACTATAAACTGGAACATAATTTATCTGTGTTAGATGCCAAGAGGTGGCAATTTTCCTCCCAAATTTGGTGGACACAAGATTTCTGATTGATGTGTGAGAAACAATCTAAAATGGTGAAGATGGTGGTGAGTATGTGTAATTCAAAAATATTTTAAATATCAGAATACTCATTATAAGAAGAAAACATAGGTTTTTGTCTTTTCTTCCATCCACTAACCATGACCTTGGAAAAGTCACATTTCTGAGTATAAATTTCTTCAACTATAAAGTAGGGTATTAGTTTCAATGATATCTAAGGTCCATGTAAGCTCTAAAAATACTCTGATTCCCTGCCTATTTAAATGTTTTTAATCTTTGTTTTACATTTAAAATTTTAATAATAATTATTATTACTATTATTTTGTACCAGGGATCAAATTCAGGACCTTGCGCTTGCAATGCAGGCAGCAGCACCACTGAGCTAAATCCCCAGCCCAACATTCTCAACACTTTAACACATACTAGCTGTGGCTTAAGAAATATAGACTGTCGGAGATGAGTAAATAAAATTACTAGAGAATAGCTCAATGACAGAACACATGCTTAGCAGGTACAAGGCCCTGGGCTCAAACACTAGGACCTAGACAAAACAAAAACAATCCAGGGCTGGGGATGTAGCTCAGAGGTGCGGTGCCTGCCTGGCAAGAGCAAGGTCCTGAGTTTCATCTCTGGTACCAGAAAACAAAACAACAAAAGACAAAACAAAGCAAAACAAATACACATACACAATCAAAACAAACAAAAAAGCCTAATTCTACTTCTCAGAAACTGCTAACCTCCACAGAAGACATACATATAATGGTTTATAACTTGCTTTCTTTTAATGTATTTTAAACTTCTTGCTATAGCATTAAATGTTCTTCTGAAACACTGATTTTTTAATGAATGAACAAGGCAAGAAGGCCGGCATCTTAGAGTCACTCAGGGGTGTTCAAGAAAACACTCTGCTCTTTCTGATATCCCTCTGGGGGCAGCAGCTCTCCCATTTAGGAATCACCATGGACAAAACTGCGGTTGGCAGTAACCCTAATTTTCCTTAGGAGCATTAAGACAAAATCAGACCAAAGAGCACTGTCCCTGTAAAATCATTTTTAATGGTTACTAAGATGGAATGTTTCATCACTTAATAACCAGTTTCCTTCACTTCATATTAAGCTATTGTCACTAAATAAACACTATAATGAACATCTGTGTAGACTATCTGTGTATACATCTGTACCGAAACCCGTGGCACTTCCTCCTTGGTCACCAGTAATAAGGGAATGTGAAGTTGCAAAGTCTCTCATTCTGTTTCAATGAGATCTTCTTAAGGTGGCAATTTGACATACAGAGGAAAGATGCACCTTGATTAAGAACTTCAGTCACTCACCAGCATCTTTGATCCAATTATCATAAAAATGTACGGTCCTCGATGTAAGATCACTGAAGGCCATTTTCCACGTGATTTATAGGTCCTTCTAATGGATTCTTCAGTAAAACAAACCAGAAAGGAGTTTATAATCTATAAATGCAAATAAAGATAAGCTTTTAGTAATACAATATTTAAAATGTTAAAAATTTAATAGGAAAAACTGGCAGAGCAACAAACTTCTACTGAAGGTAAACACATTAGTGAACTGTATTAAAAACGGATGCTATTGCAAACATTTAAGCTTCTCCATCCTTCCAGGGACACTGCTAACTTCACTGAAAAAGGCTGACATTTCATATACAAGACACAAAAGGAGTAAATGATTCTAAGAACCTTTGTGGGAGTATCTCCCTTTTACGGCAAAAACAGGTGAGGAATGGACTACACCTACCATGGAATGCTGAAGTAAAAACCTAGGAGAAGAAAGCCTAGAAGATATACAAACTTCAGAGAAGGTACAGTGCTCCTGGACTTGGAGCTTATACTTAGGCCCATTAAGGCCTTCTATGTGCAAGTGGGACAGATGCAGAAAAAATCCAGAACAACCCACAAAAGCCAAGTAGAAGCTGCCTACTTTATCTGGACAAGTTGACAAAAATAACTTCTTCTCTGAAAGATGACTACTGAGGAGAAACTATTACATATTCAAAGATGTTATAAATCTTCAGTAATTGAAACACTGCAGCCTTAGCAAGTGAAGGGACAAATGAAAATCAAGAAGAAATGCAGAAAGTGCTGCTGAGACAGACAGTAACAGCAGTATGGAGAAAAAAGGAAAAGGCAACCCATGGTGGCTCCTGAAAAAGGGACTAGAAGGCCAGCAAAGCCAGGGCAAGGCAAGAGGTGGGGTTGGAGGTGATGGGAAGAACCTTCCTTGTTGCTGGGTAGAGGTCTCACATTCTTGGGGTTCTGTCTTCGGAAAATCAGAAGTCAGATAGAATCTTAGTCCTCACTGTCAGGTAAGAAAAAATCTCTGAGGTAAGAATCCCAAGACTGCTAGGTAAATTTTAACCTAGATATTAATCTGTGTGCTTCGTCCATTGTACATCCATTTCTAGCTGGAACTGGCCCCCCATCATTTAAACAGAAACAAAATCTGAAAGTGGTTTTGAGTGCCAGACAAAACTTTCAGTGTTTAAATTCATTCCTTCCCAATGACTTACTAAAATCAGAAACTTTAATGTACATTAAAATGTGAATTTAAAAAGTAATAATTTGTTTAAAGCAGGATTTCTCCATCTTTACAATACTGACATTTTGAGCCAGATGATTCTTATTTGTGCAGATCTGTCCTGAGCACTGTATGTTGTTTGAAACCAATGCTGACTTCTATTTTCCAAATGCCAGAAATTCATCCTCAACCACTGAAACAACCAAAAATGTCTCCCAAAATTGCCAAACTTCTAGATCGCAAGTGTTCCAAATTGTGACGCACTGTTTAAAGAAATCTAGCAACATCCAAATAGAAGTAGTTTGCCTCAGACTAATCACTTTAGCAACTGTACACTTATTCAGTGATGCCATTATTCAAAACAAATTTTCAGCTTTTCTCTATAATTTCAGAGGTTTTTAGAATTTCACTTACATGACTTTATGGGAAGAAAATCTTTGTCTATTGTTTACAAAAATCAAGTTCATATAAACTACTATGACCACTATGGAAATCAATATGGAGATTCCTAAAATAACTAAAACTAAAAATTCCACTTGAGCTAGCTATTTCCCTTCCAGGTACCCTTCTGAACAAGGTAAAGATATCATATTACAGTGATACATGCATATCCATGTTTATGGCAGCCAAGTTCATAATCGATAAATGTTGGAAGCATTAATAGATGAATGGATAAAGAAAATGTGGTATTTACATGAAAAATAGTACTCGATCATAAAGAAAAATGAATTTGAGTTGCTTGTAAGAAAACGGATGCACCTTGAGATCAGAATGTTAAGTGATCATAATGTATCTAAGAATCAGACACACAAGCTTAAATACTGCATGGTTTCTTTTACTCCTGAAACCCAAAGTATAAATAAAGAGCAAAATACAAGGGAGATCTCTGTCAAATCAGAAAGGGATCAAGAGATAGAGGAAGAGGAGGGAAAGGGGATGAAAAAAGGAACTAAGATGTGTTATGTATCTGCACCGACTCCACAAAAGGAATGGAAACACTGTGTACTGCAAACTTGTACAAAAAAATGAAGGGGATCAAGAAATTGATAGACAGTTTCACTATCCTCTCTATCCATTTCTTGAAGGGCAAAGGGATGAAAATAAGGAATCAAGATGTACTATGTATATGTATCACTTCCTCACAAGGAATGTAAATATATGTACTAAAAATTTTTTCTAATTTTTTAAAGTTTAAGAAAAGAATGGTTTTGAAGATAAATGGATCAAGTTGAGCCACACCTTTATCAGGAGGGTGGCAACAGGAGGAGTGGAGCTTCGTTTAGTGATAAAATTTACTATTAACATTTTTACTGTGTGTTTTATAAAATGAGAATTATTCCAATGGAACAAATCCAGAAATATTAAGGGTGCGGAAATATTAGTGGGATAAATATAGAGTAGCCTGAGGTAACTATTTAGAGGTAACACATTTAAATATGTACATGCAAAATAATTTAACACTCATCTTTTTTTTTT